TCTCTGGCCTCAGGTTCCTCATCTGTAGAATGAGGATCTTGATACCAATCACCCAGCGAGGTTGAAAGGATCAGTGGCATAATGGAGTCATGCTTACACAGCTGTGTAGCACAAGGCCTGGCATCTGGTAAGCACTCACAGAGGGAAGATGATTATTCTAATTATTTCAAATAGGAATAGTGTCTTTTGGTGGGGAAAGATTCTACTTGACTGATCGCTGGAAGAAGTTTCTTTCTTCCTTCGTGAGGGGCCACTCGAGGTCCCGGCTAAGGCTTCGAATCCAGACGCCCCTCGTCAGATCCTGCTGTCACTACTGATAAGTTCTAGGAGCTTGAGCAATTGAATTCTCTCAGTCTGCACTCCCTCATCTATTAAATATAATCCATGGTACCCACATCAGGAATTTTTTGTAAGGAAGTAAAGACATCTGCCTGGCACAGAGTACGAGGTCGATGAATGAATCCTGTAGGATGGGAATGTTATCCCCCTACAGGGGTTGAAGTATCCTGTTGCTGTTGCAGCAAGTACAGGTCTGAGACCATCGACCCAAATGAGCAAAGAATGTGCTTTTCTTTGCTTTCCTAAAATTTAACTTTTAGTCTCTGCCCTGTTTCACAGGTGATAGAAATCGAATCCCATCAACCAGGCTCTGATGCTCCTCTCTTCTGGTCCAGATAACCTTGAGTGGTTTGGGGGAAGATGTGCTTACAGAATGCCATGGCAGGCGGGGCGGGGTGTCCAGGCACCTGGTTCCTGGTCATAGTCTACCTGTGCTGGCATCTGCTGGGATGTCCCCATCCCATTTGGTCACGCTGGTCCACGCTGGCGGAGCAGTCACCTCTTTCGTTCCCTTTCAGATGTACAGGCACTCCGGGCCGTGTCTGTGTCACTCTTGGGTGTGTGGGAAACCCTTCACGGCCCCCAGGCCACATGATGGGCTGTCTCGGGTCTGCCTGGCCTTCACCGTGATCAGAGGGGACCCGGGGTCCTGCCTTTCCCGGGGTTTACCCAGAAAAGGGGCACGCTGCCTCTATTCTCGAATACCCCGTGCCACGTTGCCCTCTTTCTGATCCAGATAACCTTGACCTGCCTGGCATGGTAGCTTTCGTCCATCTTCCAAATGTATTGTCAGTGCCCTGAGTCCTTCACAGCCTACAGCCCCGGCTCACAACAGCCTAAGCCCTCAACAGTCGAATCTCTTACCTCTGCTTTTGTCATTTATCATCCCTTCTCAAAGGCAGTGTGTGCCTCTGACTAGATGGGGAGGGGGAAGGAAAAAGGAAGGTAGGATGGGAAGGAGCCATGACTGATAGTTCCATCTACTTTCCCCCCACGCTGTGTTTTTGTAATACATGTTGAAAAAGAACAATTAGGAAGTACACAAAAATGGTGGGGGGCACTCACCAGGTTTGAGGATATTTTTGATGTTACCATGATATTCTCCCTGTGGTCTGAGCCCTTCCCTCCCGGGGTCCTGGGGGGCTCTTTCCTGAGCCTGGGGACATGCCTTCTGGAAGATCTGGTCTGTCTGCAGTACGGATGGTGCCTTCCACCCAGCCCGCTTCTGCGGCAGCCACTGCCCCCATGCAGAGGGGCCCCCTTGACCTGTTGTCTTTCTTGGTCCCGCCTCATCAGCACCCCTATTGAGCATGCTCCAGTGTGCACCAGCCAGGCCACCACCCCGCTGCTGCCTGCTTCTGCCCAGCTGCCTGCCGCTGCCTCTCCCAGCACAGCCTCGCCACCCCCGGCCACGGCCGATGCCCACACTGCCACCGCCTCTGCCACAGCCCCCGCCTCAAGCCCAGCGGACAGTCCAAGGTAACTGGCCCACGAGTGCTGGCCCTGACCGTGGGGACGCAAGGCAGGAGAGGCTCACGCTGGGTCCATCTGCTGGCAGCTGTGTCTGGCCTCAGAAAGGCCCATCCAAGGTGGTCGGGGCCCCGGGGAAGCCAAGGCCAGCACTGCTTGGTGCTGACAGTGAAAGGGCAGCTGGGGTGCATTTCTGGGGAGTGTACTGTGCATGGCTGAGGACAGGGCAGGGGTGCGTCGCCCTGCTTCCCAGGGGCACATGCTTTAGTGAGGGAGGTAACAGTCATACCCACACATACACAGTTAGATAACAAAGGGAGACTGTGTGGAAAGACTGTGTTCCCGGGACTGGGATTAGGGAGAATGAAAGTTGTCCCTGTGGTCTGAGGATGTCAAGGAGGTCTCCATGGAGGAGGGAGCATTGACCTGGGCACAGAACGTGGGTCAGATTTGGCCAGATATTTAGCAATTAACTTGCCCTCGTCCCTTACCCTCTCTTCTCTTGATGGAGAAGCATGCTGACTCCAGGGGTGCCTGGTGTGGTGGGAGTTAAATCTCTCCTCCACCACTTACTGTCTGTAACCTTCAGAAAGTGACTCGACTTCTCTGAGCCTCAGTTTCCTCATCTGCTAATATGCTTAATGCAAAATCTGTTCTATAGGATCGAGATAGAAAAAGGGTACATAAAACATCTAGCACATATAGTGTTCTCAAGTATTGTGAGTTACTGCATTCCCACCTGTCCTCCTGGATACCCAGCAAAGGCGGAGGGTGGTGGTGAAAAGGGTATGGGGAGGCGGAGGGGCAGGCTGGACAGGTCATTCTGGAGAGGGCAACCAATGTAACAGGCCGGTGGGCCCAGCTTTTTCTGGGCTGTGTGGAGCTGTCAAGTTGGTGTTTGGGGTCAGAGCCAGCTTTTCTGGTCTCCCATGCTCCCCTCTCAGGATTCTGCTGGAAAGGACATGCTTCTCTGGGTCAGGACACATAGGTCCCTGGTGCAGCCTGAGGCAGAGTGGCTGCAGGCCTGTGTGCTGTGACGCCACCCCAGGGCCTCACAACAACCCCAGGGGTGCCAAGCCCAGCCTCTCCTCAGTCCAACTCAAGCCTCAAGGGTGAGCCTGGCCCGGGCCTCCAGGGGTTGTTTTATCCCAGCTTACTGGGGGCACTCAGCAAGCTGCTTCCCCTCTGCACACCAGAATCTCTCCAGGTAAAGGCACAGAGAAGAAACTCTGAGGAGGGTAAGAAATGTCCCTGCTGTTAAGTGGGAAGACCCCTCCCCAGTTTGGATGAGGAAGCTCTAGATGCTGGGGCCCTCCTCAAGGAGGGGCTCCAGCCCCACACTCCAGGCCTCCGTGTCCTGTGGCCCTCCGGACTCCCTCAACAGGGCAAACCCTTCCTCACCTTGCCTTGCAAAGAGAGATGAGGCCTGGGTGGAGGTTAGATAGGGACCCGCAGGGCTCCCAGCATCGGGCTGGAGCAGAAGGAATCAGGAGACCACACTCTGGGCCCGGCTACCTCCTCTTCTTCACAGGGGCTGGGATGGAGCTAGAGGGAGCCAGTGGGAGGCAGATGGACACCCCAGCCTTTCACTGGAGCATGGCCTCAGAATTCTTGCTGGGTATCTTAAGCCTCTGCTTCCTCCCCCACCACCAATCCCTGATACAGGACCCATAGCTCCTGGGATGCTGGGAAAGCATCTTCCACTGGTGGGAGAGTCTGGCTGAGACCCACCGACCCTTGGCCCTCTCCCACCACAGTGGGAGCTGGGCACCCCGTGGACACTGCCTCTTCCTCCTCCATTGAGGCTCCTACTCTACTGGTCTTAACAGCGGTTTATCAGAGAAGGGCAGGCAGGCCCAGGGAGGGGAGACAAGGGCCTCATTCAACCAGAAACATGGCAACTTGGCAGGGCAAGTCTGCACACCCCCAGTCTGGGACGCTGGCTGTTGGAGGCTCGTCCTACCTGTGCACTGTCTGGGGCAGCAGCGTGCGCCCTTCTGGATCTGCTCAGGAGCTTGGCAGTAGGTTCTTAGCTTGGACCACCCCCTCCCAGAGACCTAGAGAGGAAGGTATTCCCTTATCCTATGGCTCTGCCCAGCAGGAAGGGGCAGGCCCTGGGCTCATGAGGAACAGGTGGAAGGAAGGCAGGAAGCCATGGGCCAGGGGGCAGTATATTTCCAGGGCCTCACTTCCCCAGCAACCCCATCAATGGCCCATTTGCCCTGAGTGTGGTCACGTGGTCCCCATTGGGATCTGAAAGATTCAGGAAGGGACCAGGGACCTGTTCTGTAAGGTGTTAGTTTTAAACGAAAAAAAAAAGGTTTCACAGACAAATGAAATTGGGGAACACTGGATCAAAGTTAAACGGGCTGCTTAACTTCAGGAGTTCTTGGAGCCATTAGCTCTCCAAGAGGAGAGGCCAAGGACAGCATTTCTTGAGGGCAAAGAACTGGGACACTTTTTTTTCCATCTCTTTGGTCCTACAATCCCTGGGTCACAAGTGGGAAAAGGCTGCTCTAGGCCTCTTGGCAGCTAACCCAGTGAGAAGAGGGCGATGGGAATTCTATACGGAAGAGAATCCTGGGTGTGGGTGTGGGGGTGTGTGTTGTGTTGGGGGGTCTCCTGGCTTCCCATGAGCCCTCCTTGGAGCACTCTTGCCCAGAAACCTGAGACTTTGCTGCACCCTCCAGCAACAATGGAAAGGAGGAGGGGAGGAGGCCAGGTAGTGTGAGCCTGGGAGGTGCCCCAGAAGGTCGGAAGGTCGAGGTGGGGTAGCTCTGACCACCGCCATCTCTCTCTTCGCTCCTGCCTCTGCGCCCTCAAGCCCCAGCCCCACTCTGGCAGTTTCTCCCCATAAGGATGAAGGGTTTTCCATGCATCCTCCTGTCTGGCTGGCGGCTTTCCTCCCTCTCCTGTGGTGGTGGCACCAACAATAAGCTGTATTTCTCAAGGTGTCTCTGCTGCTGTAACCAGACTCTCCAAGACTCAGCACCCAAGGAGCAGCTTCCTCTCCTCTAAGACCCCCATGGACTTTCCTGCACAGCCCCTGGCAGCTCCCCAGGATCATCTCCATCAGGTTTCCTCTCACAGAGGCTCCTGAAGATCGGGCAGCCAACCTGCCATGGCTGCAGGCCCTGGGGCCTGGGTGGGGCTGACCTTCTGGCTGCTAATTCTTACCCCCTTGGTTCCAGGCCCAAGGCCTCGGCCTACAGTCCCACGGCTGCGACCTGTTCGGCACCTGCCGCCCATACATACAGCGAGGCCCCAGCTGCCCCTGTGCCCAAGCCCCGGGTTGTCACCACTGCCAGCATCCGGCCTTCTGTCTACCAGCCAGGTGAGAAGCAGAATGGGAGGGGCATGGGCTCCAGGAGTCAGCTCTGAGGCCACATGCCCAGAAGGATGGTGGTCACTGAGGCCCTGATAATGAGGCCCAGCCCTCCAACTGTGGGCCAGAATCCTATGGAGCCTGCCTCCAGCCCTGGGAGACAGGTGGGCAGTGCCAGGCAGGGATGGAGCTTCTCAGCTCTGAGGAAGAGGACATTCCTGGCTGGGGATTTCAGGCTCAAGGTGAGAGAAGAGAGGGTTTAGAGGGGAGGAGCTTATTCCTCCAGGAGTCTGGGTCTGGCTCAAGCCCAAGGAGAGGCAGCTATAACGAAAATGCCATGGGCTCTGGACAGACCTACTACATCCTGGTGTCACCCTGGGCAAGCTGCTCAACCTCTCTGGTTTTCTTTGGTTTCCTCAGCTGAGACAGGATAACCAGAGGCATGAGAGTACAGGTAATAGGCAGCCGAGTGGCCAGCACAGGGTCTACAGATGGCTGAGCTCACTGGCTGTCTGTTCCATCTCTCTGGTCCCCATTCTCATCACTGCCCCCTCACAGGAACAAGGGCTCAGCCCCATGACCCCGTCTTTTCGAGGCAAAGTTGGGCCTGCTCCCCAGGGCCCGAGGACAATTCTCAGGCTGGCTTGCACCCCACCTTCCCTTGCCTGGCCCTGCTCAGTGAACCTAAAGGCTCTTTAGCAGGTAATATCCCAGGCCAGGGGAAAGTCCCGTGTGCCCTACTGTAGGATGTGTCCACAGTAGGGCTTCTGGCATCCAGGCCCTGAGTGCTGATATCACCATTTATCCCCTCCTTCCCACTGGATTCTGATTCTGAATTCCAGGAAGGCAGGGCTGTGGCAGATTATCTCCACTATATCCCCAGCGCCTGACTCAGGCCTGGCACAGGGGAGATGCTCAGCAAAGGGAGTGAATGAAGGAACAAATGAATGAATGAATGCTGGTTAGAAACGCAAATGGGGGCAGGAGGCTGTGAGCTGTGCCTTCCGGTGGCTGAACACACAGTGGTAATGGATCACTAGGGTTCCGAGTGGCACCTTGGTGCCTGTCCCACTGATGGCTGAGATAGGATAGTAGGCAGGCACCTGCTTTTCATTTAAAGCATTATACTGTCAACATATTTATCTTTACAGCCATCATGAATTTATGGAAAGCAATAATGATTTTCCACTTGCATTAGTGATACAAACTGTTCCTTTCCCCCAAAATTATTGCACATATACCATTTTTACATATGGTAAAACTGATGAAGTGAGGAATTATGTCTTGTTTGGGAAAGAATGAGGTAGCTAATTCTACGGCAGTAGGGAGGGGGCTTCTCTATGTCATGCAACACAGGGAGAGTGGGCCAAGCAACTATGTGGTGAAGGAACAGCAAAGTCTGGACTCAGAAGCACGTCCTGTTACGGAAAATGAGAGACCCGAGTGAGCCTTCTCACTGTGGCTGGACAGGAAGGGAGGTAAGACAGGGACTGAGTGAAGAAGGGCCTTGCCTCGGAGAGCTGGGACGTGATGTGTAGGGTGCTGGAGCCAAGCCCAGCCCCCCGAGTTATAGAACTCGCTGTGACAGCAGTGTTCAGTGTGGGCCGTAGAAGGGGCTTTAGTATCAGACAGACCCCCGTGTCAGGGCCTGCTCTGCTGTCTAAGGCCAAGCACTTCATCTCCTGGGCCTGAATCCTCTCGTTTTAAAAACAGGCATGATACTATGTACACTTCTCGTTCTGGGTAAAATGAAGCACCAGCACAGTGCCTGGCACACAGGAGGTGCCCTTCTCTGTCCCTACAGAGGCAGAGACACCAAATTCTGAGGTTAAGAGCCCACAGGATAGGTAGCATTTGGAGCCGGCTGCAATGATGAAAAATCGCAGATGGAGCTCGAGGCAGCGGCTGCTCGGCGGAGACGGGAACACCGGAGGGAGGGTGGAAAAGGAGTTTGGATGAGCAGCGGCGGGGGGAGGTGAGGCTTTGTCGGGGCGCAAGGAGGGCGTTTGCGTCCCGGCCGGACAGGGCTCTCCTCCCAGGCGGGTCCTTTGGGGCACCTTCCGGGGCGGGCCCCTGGCTTCGGCGCCCCGGCCTGGCCGCCGACTCTCCTCGGCAGGCCCGACAGGGGGCGGCACGGCTCCGGGGGCGCGCGCTGCCCGGCCCGCCCGGCGCCCCTCTCCTCCTCCTTCGCGGGCTGGGGCCTGGGCGGCGCCCCCTGGCCGTGCAGACGTTAACTCATTCCCGCCCGAAGGGAAGGAGGCGGCCGGCGGGCGCGCGCCGGAGCCCGCCTGCCTCCACCCCCTCTCCCGGGAGGCTTGGCCGCCGGGTGGGGCCCGGGGGCGGCTGGCAGGAGGCCCAGAGAGAAGCTGGGAACGGGGGCCCGAGCCCCCTCTCCTCCTCCGCAGACCCCGGACTCCGCTCCTCGCGGGGCTCCCCGGGCCGAGGGTGGCGTTCGCAGCCCGGATCTTATCGCTGGCGCCGCGGCTGGGCGGCCGCTCCCCGGAGCACCTGGGGCCCGGGAGGGGTTCGGGCGGCGGCGGCGCGGAGGC